TATTGTTAGTATATTATTATATGTTAGTGTTTAGCTTTAATAATTAGTGTCCCCTTGCTTTATGCTTTCGGTGCCTCAATTGGCATCCTATGTTGTCTTCTCCTCTCTATAAAGAGAGTGTACATCTCTTTGTAAATATATACAGAAATACACAGAAATATAGAGTTATTCATTTTCTCTCTCCTCTCTCTTCTCTCTTCTCTCATATTCAATATACACAATTCTCTCTCTTTCTTTATACATAAAACTAACAGCATTGAAGTTTTAACAATTTATGCAAGTTTTGACATCACAACTACAACTCTGGACTACACACTAATTGTCCATTAAACATATCATAATGCTTTTCAGCTGTTCAAGCTTTAAAATATTGACACACACATACCGAGAGAGAGAGAGAGACTAGCCTCCATAAATAATCACAACTTTGGGAATTCAAGAATGTTAGCTATGGTGCACTCTAATCTATCACAATCTGCCACTAAAGTATGGAGGGAGGGGGTAACGATAACAATCTAAACTGTTCAAAAACAACCAACCAAGAAAGTTCCAAAACCCACGATAATTATGAAAGAAATGAACGGAGAAGAAAAATAAAATAAAAACAATCTAGTCAATCTAAATTGTTATAAAAATGGCCCACTAGCATTACTAAGTTCCAAAACCCAAAAGAGTTGTTGCAACTGTTTCCAATTCTGAAACCAACATAAAATACACTCACCTAGAGTTCAGATAAAAAAATTAAAAAATAAAAACTGATTATTTAGTAGATTAGCACACGAATATGGAATGCAAAAATCAAACCACAGACCTATTGTAAAATCTAGTGCAACCTAATTTTTAGAACTCCCGAATTCTATGTTTAATGCTATAAGCAATACATATATCTATACTATTATATAAAGTGTACAACCAATTTGGTATGAACACCTTTATCATGTTTTTTTCTCATTCTTAAATTGCCCCTAGGTAACTGTGGATTTCAAATTTTATAACTTTTTTAAGTTTTTAAAAGCACACCTGCACACCTTGTTGTTCATATATATATTTGATGATGAGAAAATCCTTAAGCCAAGGCTAGCCCTTTGGCCACCAAGTCTTTCCTAAAGGGAGGTTTGGATTCCACTCTTAGGAGGGGAACGATGCAAGTTCAACACCCACCACGTGCTAATTTAACAACTAATCACTGAATTTCACCAATCAAAACAATAAAAAAGAAAGAAACCCATTAAGCCAAGGCCACTTTGGACCCAAGATAAACCCGGATACTTACAAATACCCACAAGCCACAAGTATCAGGTAAGCACACAGCCCAGACCATGAAACTTTCTCACAAATTTTTCTTTCCAAAATTGCACATTTTTTAAAACCCAAAAAAAAAGAAAAGAAAAAACCTTTTAAGATCAAACTGCTTCAACCATATATATGGATGTATATACACAAAATTCCAATGTAAAAATCGAAAAAGAAAACCAGACCCTGATCATCAATTAGCATTTTCAATTCAGGGTTACCTGTGGCATTTGCCAGGAGTCAGGTATATCGAGCCTCGAAGTAGCAAAAATCTTCACAACACAAACACAAGCATTTAGAGAAAGAATGAGAAACTAATTCTGGAGAGAGAATAGCACGAATTTGTGACCTTTTTGGAAGGATTGATGATACAAATGCCGACGTTTCTTCTGTAACCTTCGGGAGGGGCTTCCATGTATGAGGATGACGAGAAATACGAAGCAGTTGAGCGATTACAAAGATGATTGAGACGGAGGAGTGGTAGGGTCGTGAATATGTTGGATTTGAGAGGGTAATTTGGGGATGAGATAGAGTAGGGTTAGAGAGGACCTGCAATGGAGGACGAGAGACTGGGAAATTAAAGAGGATGATGAATCTACATAAAGCCATAAAAAATCTAGTTGCACATAGATCGAGCATATATCTGAACATAAAAATTTATGTATCTGGATGATCAGTCAGACGATTGATTAGTTCCAACGGTTATGAGATCTTTCAATCGTTGGACCAGTCGCCTAGTTGAACAGTTTCTTTGCATAGTATTACTATCAACTTAAATTTTAGTCAGATGATTGTTCAGTTCCAATTATTATGATGTCTGTCAATCGTTCGACCAATCATCCAATTAAACAGTTTTTGTATTTAGTTCTCTGTATAGTATTGCTATTAAGTTAAATTTTACTTTCTTTTTTTTCTTTTTCTTTTTTTTGAAAGTTTTTATTATTGAACAATAACCACTTAATTTTACTTGCGCCACCAAAATTTGCTAATCAATGAGTTTAACTTCGCACAAAATTTCTTCAGGAAAATAAAGTAAGGCATCGCATAAGCTAGAATGGCTTGTACTACAGTTTTTATCAATATTTCTTGCTCCGCATGTGACAACAATTTCAACTTCCAACCTTGTAACTTGGCTAGCACTTGCTCAATGATGAAATCATATGCCTCTGCTTTTAACCTCCCCCAAAAGGGTGGAAGACCCCAGATATTTCGCATCATCAGGAGTTTCTCTAAATCCAAAAATAGAACAAATGCTTCCTCAGAGTAAGAGAGGGACATTGGGAGAGAATTGCATACGAGACTTGTCGAAATTTACCATTTGACTAGATGCCAAGCAACAAGAACTCAACAAGACGACTCTACTAACAGCAAATGAGACAAAGTAAGACAATGCCTAGTAATTTTGAGGCCCAAAATATGTCTTTCATGAAGGCTTTGATTGACCAAATTTGACATAAAATTCGCAACTAAGATAAAGAGGTACGGAGAAAGAGGATCTCCCTGACGCAGCCCTTTAGATGGTTTAAAAGTACCCATTTTTTCGCCATTGACAAAGATTGAGAAATTGATAGTGGTGACACATTTCGAAACCCATTGAATCCATTTCGGATAGAAGCCCATTCTACGCATTTGCTCAAATAAAAAGTCTCGCTCAACACAGTCATAGGCTTTATTAAAATCCAGCTTGATAGCCACGAAACCATCTCTTCTTTTTTTTTCTTTTGTTTTAGGAAATGAAAGGCCTCATGTGCAACAATAGAATTATCCTGAATCATTCTCTCAGGAATGAAGGCAGATTGGTTGGGAGAAATTAAGGGCTTCAAAATTTGTTTCAACTGATTATCAAGAAGCTTTGTGAAAATCTTAACCGTGAAGTTACACAAGCTAATGGGCCTAAGTTGAAAGAGCTTAACAGGATGACTCACTTTAGGAATTAGCATTAGATTTATACTTTAACCGTGAAGTTACACAAGCTAATGGGCCTAAATTGAAAGAGCTTAATATGATGACTCATTTTAGGAATTAGGATTAGATTTATGTGATTTAGTTATTTGAGAATGTAGCCACCAATGAAGAAACTACGCACCACCTTGCACACTTGGAGGCCAACCTCAACCCAATACTTCTGGTATAAACACCCTGGAAATCTAACGCATTAGTAGAAAAATAATTTTTTACGTCTATTTTTTTGCGACTGATTATTTGACCGTCGCAAAAAATATTATTTGCAACAGCAAATCAGCCAAAACAAAAACTTGTGAACCCACTCAGCCTAAGCAAAAACTTGCAAGCCCATTATTGGGAACCCACTCAGCCTAATTTATATTTTCCTTTTTTCTTAAACTCTCATTTCCCCCAAATTTGATTGTGTAAAATTTGCCTTGCACCCTCATTTTCCCCAAATCTAATTTCGCTCGATCGTGTCTGAGTAACCAGGTTCATTATTAGATCAAGAGCCCTCTCTCGATTTCGCTCTATAGATCACCATGGTCATCTAAATAAGAGATCTCCAATGGTATGTCTCTCTCTCTCTCTCTCTCTCTCTCTCTCTCCCTCTCTCATCTCAGTGAGTCTCTTCGAATCATTCATTCGTATTTTAACTTATTCATCTCTCTACTTCGATCACTTGAACTCACTGTAATTTGTATTCAACTTCTTCATCTAAACTCACTGTAATTCGATCACTTTTTAGTCAATCAATTGATTTTTCCACCAGGTAATCTGATTCTGGAAACAAGCTTTGGTTTGAATCAATCCTTCCTCATCTGTTATTAATTTGAGACAAATGAATCAAGAAATGAATATCAAAGAGCATTCACATTATCTTTGGTTTGTTATATCTCAGAGAGGATGACGCTATTAATCAAGAAATTATTCAGCTGAAGAAGGGAATTCACCAACAAGTTAGCGTGTAACACTTGCATCAAAGAATATCTCCGTTTTCTCAACTATATTTTACAGTATTTTTCAAGCAAAGTTCGTTAGTCTAAACAAAATTGTTGCAACCTTGGTTGAACATTTTTCTCCTTATATATCTATCTGTCTCACTTGTAGCATTAACATGCTCTGTTCTTAATATATTTTACAATATGCTCCTTAGACTATAAGATCTGTAGAGGACTTCTAGTGCCACATAATATGCACTTCCAACAATATCATTTAGTCTTTCATCTGCATAAACAGTCATAAAAAAAGAAACATCTTATGAATTCAATGCTAAACTCTGCTGATATTAACTATTCTTTATAGCATCATATATCACAACTTTTGTTTTTCAATGTTCGGTCTAATCCATTGCATATCTATAACAAATATCTACCCAGTGACACAAGTCCATGGAAACACTTCTAATAAATAACATGGAAGTTTGCATAAAAAAAAAAAAAGAAGATGAGTTGATCTAAAACCCCATGTGGCATGAACCCAATTTAATGGATTAATTACCTTCTAAACTACAAAACCCCAAATGCAGCCTCAAAACTCCTATCCTTAGTGCTATTTAACAAACCAAGCTGTTTGTTAAAGGATCGAACTCAGCTTGTAAGAGGCTTGCTTAGGCCTTTTCACTCGATCAAATGAGCCAAGCTTGACCTAAATTCTACTGATTTTATAATTGAGATAAACTGTTACTATCCTAATCCTAGTCCAATTAGGCACACATACAAAACATGCATTTTATTAAGAATTAGGCTTAGGAACACTTCATAGACAAGCCAGATGATTGTAAAAGACATCCGTTTAATTGAATTGCTAGCTCATTTAATCACATAAACTGGCTAAACAAGGCAACCGTGACACGAGAAATATCAAACTCAACTTGATTAGGAACTTTGATTAGGCCAGTGAATGTTAGGCAGAATAACTTTATTATAAAGCAGTACTGGATGGAAATAAAATACTGACACTACATAAATCCCCCGTTTTCGCCTAAATCCATTTAATTTCAAATACATACCTAAATAATTTACAACATCTTATATTAGTATTATTATATTATACAATATGCAATATATAAAAATCATTAAGAAGTGTCCAAGTACCCGTGCTTGTACCCAATTTTTGTATATATGTTCTAAGACTTAGGGTTTAAGGAGGCCAAACAATTGGACAAGCACCTGCACGCGAAACTCATACCCGAGTCTATGTAACCAATATGTAATGAGGTTAAAATTACATTAGTGTAGGAGTGATAACTGAGAATTCTTAACAATATCTATTAAGATAATGAACAAACTTAGGATGAACTGTGTCTATTATCTAGTCTAATGAAATTAGAAAGGCCAAAATCAATAAGCTTCATATTAGCATCTTCGTTTCTAGAGGAGAAAAGGAAATTCTGTAATGCAAGCAATTAGAAAGGCATTAATTACATAAAAAATATATCGACAATGGGGAATGTTTACTAAATGCAACAGAAAATAAGTTTTTTTACTTGGAAAGCTAAAAATAAATAAATAAAATTATGTGTCCTAATAATGCAAAATACAAAGATGTCAAGTTCAAGAAACAATAACCTCGGGCTTTAAGTCATGATGCACAACACCTTGAAGATGGAAAAATGCAACAACACTTAAAATTTGCACAATAATGAGTTTTGCATCCTCTACTGTGTATCTACCCCCTTTGTAGCTAAGGAAAAGTATATAATAAGTTCAAATCAGACCTACCAAGAATAAAATAATTATCAAAACAATGTTCCTTATTGCCTTGACAATATTCTGTTTAGTAATTCTCCACCTTCACACAATCTGATAACCAAACAAAAGCTTTGTCAGACCCCCAAAAAAATATCCAAGAATGAAGTCAAAAAATTGATGTGAAACTCTAAATAAAAACTTTTGAGCACTAGCTCATAGACAAACATCAACATAACTAAAGGTAGCAAGTAATTCCAATATTTTCAAGAAGAGTGAAACAGACATCTATCAATAATAAATCATTGATTATTAATGGAATACATGGAAGAAGAGAATAAAGAAAAGGAATATCCTAAAAGGTTTGAGGTAATACTCAATATTTGAACATCTTTCTTGCATCAGTCTTTTAAGCTTTTCATGATAAACTTCAAATTTAAAAATTGTTTGTTCAAATCTTCTTGAGATGAATACATTATTGTCATTGCGCAGGGAACTTGATAAAGTTGCGATGGATAGACTTGTGGAGTTGGCTTTCAAAAAGCTTTTGGTAATTATTTCATTTCTTTCCAATCTTCTATTTGCTCATTCTTGAAGTGATATTGTTTGGCAATAGACTTTATAGTGGATGGTTGCTACTACATATTTTAGTAGCAGGGGAAGCATAATGCAGAAATGATGTAAATGATCTCCTACAATTTGTTTTGTTAGAGTTTGTATGCAACTTTGTATGCGACTTTGTAGGACATCATAGAAAGATCATAAAAGCAAGACAAAGTCCAAGTATTGGGTTCCATTCAAGAATGATCCGAACATTGCTTCTAGATTACCTAGTAACATAATGCCAACCCAGTGGAGGAAACTTGTGCAATATTAGACGAGTAAAGAAGTATAGGTATAAGTATTCTTTGTAAAATTTTAATTAATGTTTTAATGATAGGTAACTAATGTTTGATAGTCTAACCAATGTCATAAGCGATTGCTAAGAAGAATTCTTCTAATCGGGGTTTTCGTGGGCCTCCACATACGACCGGAAGGACATCTTTCTCAGATATTCATTTTAATTTATTGATTTTGTGGTTGCACCTAAAGCATCATTTGAGACTGCATTTGGTGC